CTGCATGCCTGCATCCGTCGCCTGGACCTGGATGCCTGCAACGCGCTTCTCAAGGGGTACACTCGAGCTAACATGCCAGATGCTGCACTGCGATTGGTTGATGACATGCACCGGGCTGGCATTCCGTGCGGCACGGCCACACTATCCCTCCTCCTCTCCTGCCTCTCTCGCTCCCACCGCCTCTCCCATGCCACCGCCCTTCTCTCTCAACTGGTCACCACTCCTGAGACTCCTGTAACCGTTCACCTTCCTGCCACCACCAATCCATTGACTTGTCCATTTCATCCCGAATCCCTGCCTGGGTCCGTGCATCAGCGTTTGTCACCTCCTGCTACTCCTCGTCACACCCGTCCCTCCCACCACCCCCCTCACCCCCACGGCTCACACCCCTCCACGCCCCCAGCCGCCATCAAGCGGCGCACGCTGCGGGGGCTGATGGAGGCACTCAAAGCAGAGGGGCACGTGGAGGGCGTGAGGCAGGCCATGCAGGCAGGCGAGGCCATGTGGGGCCGCGGTGAGGTGGCCTGGTACAAGATGCTCATAGGGGCCATGCTGCGACGCGCTGAGGTGCCTGCAGGGAAAGGTGGAGGAGGGGAGGGGGAGGGTATCAGTGGGGGGAGGTGGGAGGAGGCGGCGAGGGAGGTAGAGGAGGAGATGCGGGTGAAGGGAGTGAGGGCGGACCATGAGGTGAGAGGGCTGCTCAGGAAGCTGAGAGGCGTTGCGGATGTGCAGCAAGGGAGAGCAGCACGTGGGGATGATGTGCGTGTGGAGTAGGGGCGTTCCTGACCGGGGTGTTGCTTGGTGGTTACCTTTTCGGTGGGGATGGCTTGTGTCAAGGAGCAGATTAGAAGATGCGTTCGCAGCATGTTTGTGAATTTGCTCCCCACAAACAGGAATGTTTTTCCTCACCCAATCCTAAATGTTCACAAAATATCATGAGCTCACGTGTACCCAACAATTTGCTTAGCAACAATGCACTTTTGATAAACCCCGCCCTTTTACGGTAACCATACCAATCTGTTGCATGCACCTACTTTCCAGAGAGGTGACAATTGCCTCAAAAACATGTTGCAATTTCGGCTATCAATGTACCGTATTCATCGCGCTACATGTAGTTGGTGTTGTGTTTGAAATACTTGGCAGAAAGGATATTCTGGCCTGTAGGCCAGTACTGATATTACCCTGTCTGAGGATTCAGATCTGATCTGCATACAAAGACAAAAACCATTTTGGTGTGGAAAGTTACAACCTGGTCTCTCCCAATCCAACCTTTTCCACATCACAGCAACAATCCAATTAAAGTCGTCGGCCCAAATTGCACAAGATTGAGAAAGCTTGCTTTCTGTTCTTGCAAAGGGGACGTGCTTCATTACAGTGGCAACGTGCTTCATTACAGTTGCAGTAATTACATCATTCTCGTCCAGCCTATGTCAGAACATATAGCTTACTTGTTTGTGTAGGCTATAGTGGGGTATCCCATAGGGGGTACAACACATTAGGGTTTCCTATTTGTATTCACTTCACTTCATAGTCACTCATTCTCGTTCTTTGTTTTCACATGGAATCAGAGCAGGTTCCCTCCTAGGGACTGCTTCTAGGGCCCACCGAACCGCGCCCCGAGGCGCGTTTTGTTTAGCGACCCGTCGTGTCGCCCCTAGCGGCCCGTTGCGCCGCCCTTCCCCTAGCGGCTCCGCCGCCCTTCCCTAGCGGCCCCGCCGCCCTTCGATCGCGGCCCCGCCGCCCTCTGCTACGCGGCCCCACCGCCGCCCTTCGATCGCGGCCCCGCCGCCCTCGGCTACGCGGCCCCGCCGCCCTCTGCCACGCGGCCCCGCCGCCCTCTGATACGCGGCCCCGCCGCCCTTCGATTGCGGCCCCGCCGCCCTCTACTACGCGGCCCCGCCGCCCTCTACTACGCGGCCCCGCCGCCCTCTACTACGCGGCCCCGCCGCCCTCTGCTACGCGGCCCCGCCGCCCTCTGCTACGCGGCCCCGCCGCCCTTCGATCGCGGCCCCGCCGCCCTCTGCTACGCGGCCCCGCCGCCCTCTGCTACGCGGCCCCGCCGCCCTCTTCGGTCGCGGCCCCGCCGCCCTCTGCTACGCGGCCCCGCCGCCCTCTGCTACGCGGCCCCGCCGAGCCGCCCAGCATCAGCCGAGCCGCCCAGCAGCAGCCGAGCCGCCGCCGAGCCGCCGCCGCCTGAGCCGCCGCCCGGGCCACCTGAGCCGCCGCCCGAGCCGCCACTGAGCTGCGGCCGAGCCGCCGCCCGAGCAGCCCGAGCCGCCCGTGCCGCCCGAGCCGCCCGAGCCGCCCGAGCCGCCCGAGCCGCCCGAGCCGCCTGAGGAGCCGTGCTGCTGTTCCTGAGCTGTGTTCCTCTGCTGCTGACCTACCCGACTCTCCCAGCCCGGTGAGACTTTCAGCTGCTGCCATGGCCACCCCCCAATGTTCTTACTTTTGACGCTGAGGGGAGGGCCATTGACTTTGCCGTCTGGATTGAAGACCTGCAGCTGTACTTACTGTGTGATGCGATAGATGAGGTCTCTCTCTTTGACTTTGTCTCTGGCGCTGTCCCTGCCCCACCTGCTGATGCTGACTCTGCCGTTCGCTCCAAGTGGGCGACCCGCGATGCTGCTGCACGTCTTGCTGTGCGTCGCCACCTCCCTTCCTCTGAGCGTGCCCACTTTAGTCAGTGCAAGACCGCTCAGGCCTTGTACGACGCTGTAGTTGCACGCTACTCCTCCCCTTCCTCCGCTACCCTTAGCCGCCTCATGCTACCGTTTCTCTTCCCTGACCTCGCTTCCTTTCCCAATGTCGCTGACCTCGTTACCCACCTCCGTGCTAGTGACACCCGCTACCGCGCTGCCCTTCCTGCTGAGTTCCGCGCTGCGAACCCTCCTCCCATGTACATCACTCTCTACTTTCTCGTCACCCGTCTCCCTGAGTCCCTTCGTGTCGTTAGGGACCAGTTTCTCTCTGTCTGTCCCACCACTCTCACTGTCGACCTCCTTGAGGAGTCCCTGCTAGCGGCTGAGAAGAGTATTGTCGCTGTAGGGGCCTCTCGGGGTGACCCTCGCACCCCCATCTTTGAGGGGTGTGGTCCTTCCCCCCTGCTGCCCTCTGTCGCCTCTGCCGCTGCGGCCGACCTCACTGGTTTTGAGTCGGTCGGCGCGGCGTCTGCCCCCAGCGGCAGACGCCGCTCTGGCAAGGGCAAGGGGGGCAAGGGAGCGGGTGGAGCTAGAGGGGGCGGTGGAGGAGGCGGTGGGGGTGGCGGGGGGAGTGGGGGTGGCGGTGGGGGTGGTGGCGGGAGTGGAGGTACTGGTGGCGGCGGTGGAGGCGGAGGTGGCGGCGGAGGTGGTAGCGAAGGAGGCGGTGGGAGCGGTGGGAGCGACGGTCCTAGTGGGGGAGGTGGAGGTGGAGACGGGGGTGGCGGTGGAGGCGGGGGTGGCGGTGGAGGCGGGGGTCGGAGTGGCTCGTCCCAGCGGAGCAGCTCTGGGGGTGGTCAGCGCCAGCAGCAGCAGCAGCAGCAGCCGCAGCAGCAGCCACAGCAGCAGCAGCGCTCTCGCACCGTCCCCGCCCCTCAGCAGCTCCGTGAATGGTACTCGCAGCGTCAGCGTGGTGGTGCGCTTGGTCCTTGCCCCTACGTTCTTCGCACCGGTGACCGTGCAGGGGAGAGGTGTGGAGGCGCCCACACAGCCCGCCGCTGCTTTGGCCGCCTGACTGACGCCTGGCGTCAGCAGTTTCCGGAGGCAGCTGAGATCCCCCGCTGGGGAGAGCTGTCTAGGGCTGGTGTAGCTATTTATGATCTTGATTTTGATGATATTCTCTCTGCTATGTATGCTGCGATTGGTAGTGATGAGGATGACTGTTACCGGTGTTTCCCGCCCGACCCGGGCATTGGTACTGCCGCGTCAGGTACTAGTGAGGCTGCTGCTCTAGGTGCCAGTGCGTCTGTGCTCTCAGGTGCTGGTGAGTCTGCCCTCTCAGGTACTGTGTCGGCTTCGGCCTCTCACACCTTCACCCTTGACTCTGGAGCGTCTCGCTCCTTCTTTAGGGACCGCACCACTCTCACGCCGCTGAGTCGGCCGGTTGCGGTGTCCCTGGCTGACCCCTCTGGGGGGCCTGTCCTGTCTCGCTTCTCCACTGTCCTCCCGTGTCCGGCGGCCCCCTCTGGCACCCTGACTGGTCTTTACCTCCCCTCGTTCTCGACGAACTTGGTGAGTGGTGCTGACCTCCAGGATGCGGGTGTCCACCAGTTCACCCCTGCTCGTCAGCGGGTGACCCACTGCACGGAGGCGGATACAGGTCGCCACCTGGCTACGTTTACACGTCGGCCAGGGTCGAGCTTGTACACACTGACCACTGCTTCTCCTCCAGGTGCTGAGTCTGGTCAGGTGTTTGCTGCAGCGTCCAGGTCTGGTCCTGAGTCTGCCCCCTGCTCGTGCCGTCGTCTGTCTCACGAGACCCTCCTCTGGCACCACCGCCTTGGCCACCCCTCTCTGCTTCGGCTCAGAGGCATGGCCTCGCGAGTCCTTGTGTCTGGTCTTCCCCGGTCTCTCCCTCCCCTTCCTCCGGGCCCTGGCCCCACCTGTGTCCCCTGTGTCGAGGGGCGCCAGCGTGCTGCCCCTCACTCCTCCCAGTTTCCTCCGACAGAGGCCCCGTTGCAGACGCTTCACATGGACGTGTGGGGCCCAGCCCGCGTCCGTGGACAGGGTCAGGAGCGCTACTTCCTGCTGGTGGTTGACGACTACTCGCGTTACACCACAGTCTTCCCCTTGCGCAGCAAGGGTGAGGTCACTGAGGTGTTGATCGACTGGATCCGCGCAGCTCGTCTCCAGCTTCGGAGGAGCTTTGGCTCTGACTTCCCTGTTTTGCGTCTGCACTCGGACAGAGGCGGAGAGTTCTCCTCTGGCCTCCTGAGTGCCTACTGTCGTGCGCGAGGCATCCGTCAGACCTTCACGCTTCCGGACTCACCACAGCAGAATGGGATTGCTGAGCGCCGCATTGGCATGGTCATGGACGTCGCTCGTACGTCCATGATGCATGCGGCTGCTCCCCATTTTCTGTGGCCGTTTGCGGTCAGTTACGCTGCGCACCAGATCAACCTCCACCCCAGGGTCTCTCGACCGGAGACCTCCCCAGCCCTGCTGTGGACGGGGAAGGTTGGCGATGCGTCGGCGTTCCGGGTCTGGGGATCTCGGGCGTTTGTTCGCGACCTGTCTGCGGACAAGCTGTCCCCTCGTGCTTCTCCCTGCGTCTTCCTGGGGTTCCCCCCCGACGCCCCTGGGTGGCAGTTTTACCACCCCTCCTCTCGACGTGTTCTGTCCTCCCAGGACGTCACGTTCGACGAGTCGGTACCCTACTACCGCCTCTTCCCCTACCGCACTCCGTCCCTCCCCCCGCCCCCGCTCTTCTTGGTACCACGTCCCCCCCCGGTAGTCCCCCTCCCCCCTCAGGGTCCTGCCCCTTCAGGTGTGTCCCAGGTAGACGCGGTCGAGCCTGTCGAGGTCACTGGTGACTCTGGTGCTGCTGCGGGAGCTGAGCCTGGGGGTGCGGAGTCTGGGGGTGCTGAGCCTGGAGGTGCCGAGTCTGGGGGTGCTGAGCCTGGGGGTGCTGAGCCTGGAGGTGCCGAGTCTGGGGGTGCTGTGCCTGGGGGTACTGAGCCTGGAGGTGCTGAGCCTGGGGGTGCTGAGCCTGGGGGTGCTGAGCCTGGGGGTGCTGTGCCTGGAGGTGCTGTGCCTGGGGGTGCTTCGTCTCGCCTGGAGACACTCTCCCCACAGGAGCTGCGTGAGTGGTTTGCCAGGCGCTGGAGGCGTGCTGCTGGTGCTGGTGGTTCTTCGGCTGCAGAGGGTACTGCTGCTGCGCGCCCTGCCGGTGCTCGTACAATGGGTGCTGGAGCTGCTGAGTCTGAGAGTTCTCCTGGAGCTGGTCCTGCTGAGGGTGTTGGCGCTGAGCCTGCCGTTGGCGGTCCGACTGACAGTGCTCCTGGTGCTGCGGCTGGAGGTTCTGGAGCTTCTGGTGGTGCTGCTGGAGGTGCTGCTGGAGTGGGTGCACCTGCCGGGGCTGCTGGTGCTGTTCCTGCTGTTTCTAGCGTCGCCGCGCGGCCCCGACCGTACTTCGTTCCGCTCCTGCAGCAGGTTCTTAGTCTTACACCTCCTCCTCCTCCCTTAGAGGGTCCGCAGCCTGTCCGGTCACAGCCACAGCTACAGCCTGCCTCCCCTTTGCCTGCTCCTTCTCCCTACGCTGGTCCGACTGGAGGTCTTACTGAGCGTCGTGAGCCTGCGTCTCGTCCTGTGTCGCCTATTCGTACTGAGCGCGCTAGTGGTCGCGGGTCGCGTCAGCGTCCTCCTCCTGTCCCTGGCACACACCGGATGTCACTGCGTCCGTCCACTGCTCCTCTGCGTGCCCCTTTGCCTTCTCCTCCTGCTTCCTCTCTTCCTGCTCTTGCCGACCCGGAGTCGGACTCTCTTCGTGCTGCCAGTCCTACTGTCACGCGTCTCCTGGCTACTGCTGTCACTGACCCCTCCTTCGAGTCGTCTGCTGCGTCTGCCCTTGTCACTGAGCTTGTCGACTTTGCTGCGCGCTGTCGTCTGGACTACGCTGCTCGTCTTGTCACTGAGTCTGAGTCCGCCTGTCCTCCGTCCGTCGGGGGTGAGTGTGCCCTTGGCACGGACGTCCTTGAGGACAGGCAGGAGGAGTTCCAGTGTCTGGCCGCCGCTTCACCTCATCTCGCGTCTGTACTGCTAGCCCGTAAGGGAGACCCGGATGCACCAGACATCCCGACTCCGCGCTCTTACGCGGAGGCGATAGAGGGTCCCTACTCCTCTCAGTGGCAGGCAGCTATGGATGCAGAGATGGCTTTCTGGAAGTCCACAGGCACCTACGTTGACGCTGTTCCCCCTCCTGGGGCGAACATCGTCAGTGGCATGTGGATTTTCAGGGTGAAGCGGCCGCCGGGTTCTCCGCCTGTCTTCAAGGCGCGTTACGTGGCTCGTGGCTTCAGTCAGCGGCAGGGGGTTGACTACTTTCAGACCTTCTCCCCCACCCCGAAGATGACCAATCTTCGGGTTCTGCTGCACGTTGCTGCTCACCGTGACTACGAGCTCCACTCTCTCGACTTCAGCACAGCTTTCTTGCAGGGCAGCCTGCACGAGGAGATCTGGCTGCGTCGCCCACCTGGCTTCACTGGGTCTTTCCCTCCTGGTACCCAGTGGAGTCTCCGGCGTCCAGTCTACGGTCTCCGCCAGGCGCCACGTGAGTGGCACGACACACTGAGGACTACGCTCGCGGCACTTGGGTTTGCTCCTTCCACTGCCGACCCGTCGCTGTTTCTGCGCACCGACACCTCTCTGCCGCCGTTCTACATCCTCGTGTACGTCGACGACTTGGTCTTTGCCACAGCTGACACTGCTGGACTCCCCTACGTGAAGTCCGAGCTGCAGAAGAGACACACGTGCACTGACCTGGGTGAACTGCGCAGCTACCTTGGCTTGCAGATCACCCGGGACAGAGCACGCCGCACCATTACCCTGACTCAGTCACACATGGTGCAGCAGGTCCTTCAGCGCTTCGGCTTCACGTACTCCTCGCCTCAGGCCACTCCTCTGCCTACTCGCCACTCGCTCTCAGCTCTGCCTTCGGATGAGTCCGTAGAGTCGAGTGGCCCGTTTGCAGAGCTTGTTGGCTGCCTCATGTACCTGATGACCTGCACACGACCTGACCTCGCATACCCTCTTAGCATTCTTGCACGCTTTGTTGCTCCTGGGAGACACCGACCAGAGCACATGGCTGCAGCGAAGAGGGTGTTGCGCTACTTGTGCAGTACGTCGGGCATGGGGCTAGTGCTTGGAGGGCGCAGTCCAGTGGTCCTCACTGGGCACGCAGACGCTTCTTGGGCTGACGACCAGGCTAAGCAGCGGTCGTCACAGGGTTACACCTTCAGCCTTGGTTCCGGCTCTGTCTCGTGGCGGGCTACCCGCTCGTCTTCTGTTCTCGGCTCCAGTTGTGAGGCTGAGATCTACGCTGGGGCTATGGCTGCACAGGAGTTACGCTGGCTCACCTACCTGCTGACCGACCTTGGAGAGCAGCCTCGTTCTCCTCCAGTCCTGTACGTAGACAACAAGGCCATGCTGGCCTTGTGTCGAGAGCAGCGACTGGAGCACAGAACGAAGCACATTGCTCTTCGCTACTTTCTTGCTCGTGAGCTACAGCAGCGTGGACAGCTGCGACTTGCGTACGTGGCCTCTGAGGCCAACACTGCTGATGTCTTCACCAAGGCACTTGCGCCTTGTGATCATCAGCGTTGCTGCACGCAGTTGGGTCTTGTGCCTGTCTTGCCTCACTTGCTCTCCTCTTGACCTTGCTTGTAACCTCGCATATATATACTCTTGCTCTTGTATATCTCTATATATGATCTTGCATGTGAACTGGCCTTGTGGCCTTTGAACTTGTGCTCGGAATGCGTGGTGACTTTGTGATCCACCCTGAGCTTTGCTTTGCTTTGCTTGACTGGTCTTGTGACCCCTTGTTCTCCCCCACTTTGCCTATGGGGGTGTGTCAGAACATATAGCTTACTTGTTTGTGTAGGCTATAGTGGGGTATCCCATAGGGGGTACAACACATTAGGGTTTCCTATTTGTATTCACTTCACTTCATAGTCACTCATTCTCGTTCTTTGTTTTCACAGCCTACGGTAATTTACGATAGATTTTGCAAGTACCGTATTCTCCCGGATATAAGACCCTAGGGTCTTATGAAAAAATCTGAGAAAAAAAGGGGAGGTCTTATCAAAGGCTTAGAAATGTATAGTACCCGGGTCTTATCAAATGGACATATTTTTATTAAGTGTGTTTGAATGCTTAGCTGTTGTGGGTGATACAACATTTTTTTTATCATGGATAGGACCACGGATGTGCGTATTTCGCTAATCAATCCGGGTGTGGCTTCTCATTGGTCGAAATGGCACATTTAGGGTGATCTAGCGTTACATGGCAAGATTCCTTGCCTTGTCATCGTGCATTCCAACTTTAGCGGTCTAGAACATGCACGACTCGCGAGCATGGGCTGCACGAGAGACCTTGGAGCGGCCCCCACGGTTTTGGGTGGCGCACGTCAACGTCACAACTGCACCATGCCTTCTGCTCTGACTGATTCTTCATCTGTGCACGAAGCTGCTTTCTGCTCGGCAGACTCTTTGTGCATTCCCCCGTACCACAGATGGTCGTTGAAGGCTTGCGACGGCCAGTACTTAGAGCATTAGCATTTGCGTTACATAATCAATAGTGATGGTGACTTCTCCTGACTCTGGGATATCACATTTAAGGCGCCCTCGTCCCACAGCCACTAATCGAGCGGAACATGCTAGAACTTCACCTCGGCCCATTATGCCAACGTCTCCAACGTCCAGTAGTGATCCTACTGTTAGTGCCCATGGCTCTCCCCCGCAACACCCCTCGCTTCCTAGAGTCGTTATCCCAGTTTTCCCGCAGTCAAGTCGTCCTCAAGGCATGAAGAAGAGAGTCTTGGATGCCGCGCCTCCCTCACCTCGTCATAGGATGACCAAGCGGACCCGGCACGCAATTACCGCTAAGGAGAAGCTTCACTAGCTGGCCATGCTGGATTCTCAGCCAGATCTTAGCATTCGCGGCTTGGCGAGGCTCGCCAAGGTGCAGCCGAAGCAGATCCGCGAGTGGAAGAGGCTTAAGGAGCGCCTCGAAGTCTCTGCTGGATGTCGCCGCCGTCTTCATGGTGGCGGACGGAAGGTGAAGTGGCCCGCGATGGAAAGGGCGGTGTACCGCCAGTTCCTTGCGCACCGTGCCAAGGGGTTGGCGGTTCCGCTGAGCTTGCTCCGTAAGTGGTCATTGAAGTACATGAAGCACCGCCAGCCTGTTGCTGATTTCCGCGCGTCTGCGAGGTGGACCTTTCGCTTTCGCGTCCGGTGGTCCTTGGCGAAACGCGTGAAGACCAAGATGGGGCAGAAACTCACAGCAAGTAAGAAACCATCTCTTACCGTTATCCCCTTGCCTTAACGGTTCTAAGCAATCACGATTGCTTAGTGATGTCTTCTTGATTGCCTACTAATTCTTTTGTGTTGTGTGCCGTAGATTGCAAGGAAAAGGTTGAAGCCTTTTGGGAATTCGTCCGCCAGATGCGCGTACTCCATCGGTTTCCGACGAGTCTGATCGTGAATGCCGACCAGACACCTCTCTTCCTGGAGATGCCGGCGGAACGCACCCTTGAAATGAAAGGCGCCCGCACCGTGCATGTTAGGACGGCGGGGTATCAAAAGGAGCGCGTAACTGTCATGCTGGTAGTGACGACTGACGGCCTCAAGCTCCCGCCGTACGTCATCTTCAAGCGCAAGACGGTGCCACGGATCGTGGTGCCACCAGGTGAGCCGGTAGGACGTGTACCGCTACCAACACCATTATCTTAATTGCAATGTTACTAACGCAGATCGTGGCTTGCGCAGGTGTCATCATCCGCGCCCAAGAAAAGGGCTGGATGGATGAGCGCCTTGTCCAGGACTGGACGACCCAGGTGCTCGTCCCGTTCTTGAAGCCGCTGCGGGACGAGGAGGGAAGGCGCAAGCAGGCGCTACTCGTCCTGGACTCGTACAGGGGCCACCTCACCGAAGGCACAGGCCAGACGCTGAAGATGTTCAAGGTGACGCGTGCCGTAATCCCTGGCGGTTGCACCCCCCTGGTGCAGCCGCTCGATGTCTCCATCAACCGCAGCTTCAAGTGCGGGGTTCGCCACCGCTATAGCACTTGGTTCGAGGAGGTGGGGATTGGCCTCACCACACGTGCAGGTGAGGGTTTGTCCCTTGTGTCTTGCCATAGGCCGTCCTCGTTTGATCCTGCTGACATGCAAACCAACACCCCATGCGTTGCCCCACAGGGAACATGAAGAAGCCCCCGCCTGAAACCGTGCTTAAATGGATTGCAGAGGCGTGGGCCGATGTGCCAGAGGAGCTGGTGAGGAAGGCATTTCTCACCACCGGCATCTCCAACGCTGAAGATGGGAGCGAGGATCATCTGATCCTCGCTCACATGCGGGATAATGCCGAGGTGGAGGTGTTGGAGGATGTCCTCGAGGAGGCAGAGGATGGTCCCCTCCCCAACCCGTTCTACGAAGACCCCGCAGACGCCCCTGAGCCCGCAGCCACCGAGGGGGAGGAGGAGGAAGAGGCCGAGCCTGGGCTTGATGGGGAGGCGGATGGGGTGGATGCTGCGGCAGAGGGCTTGAGGCGGCATCTCTGGAGGAGGAGGAGGATGAGGCAGACGAGGTGATGGGAGAAGTTGACGAATGGAGCGACGATAGGGAGGAGTGGTGGGCTCCCGGCCGCTTTGATGGGCAGGAAGTGGAGGAGTGGGTGGCAGGCCAGGAGTAGGGACTGACGTGGTATGCTGCAGCATGCATGCACTGTGATCCTCGAACAATCAACCCTGTGTGGGTTTATGGACATCTAACTCTCTTAGCATTGTTGGTGTGGGCATGAAACGAACAAGAGAACCCCAATTGGACTAGTATCTAGGCTCGGGGGGGGGTCTAGTAATGTTACCCCCTCAAGGGGGGGGTATAGTGGAAACCTGCCAAAATAAAAGACCCACCCCCGTATTACAGACCCGGGGGTCTTGTTTTCCGGGGGGTCTTATATCCGGGAGAATACGGTATACGACTAGGGTGGGTGGGTGTGTCAAACATTTATATGTTTGTGTGGTTCTAGGCTGTAGTGGGTTACACCATAAGGGGTACACCAGATTAGGGTTTGACATATTTGTACTGTTGTTCCTGCTAGTCACTCCTCATTCTCGTTTCTCATTCTGACATGGTATTACGAGCCTAGGTTCCACCTAGGACCGAAACGATAGGGCCCACCGTTTCCGCTAGCCGCGCCCTCGTGCGCCGCCGTTCTTTTCCTGCGCCTCGAGCGCCTCCTTCTCAAGGCCCCGTATGGCCCCGCGCTAGCCTCTCACGGCCCCCGATCGGCCCCGCGCTAACCTCCTAAGGCCCCCGTCGGCCCCACGCTAGCCCCGCGCTAGCCTCCTAAGGCCCCCGATCGGCCCCGCGCTAGCCTCCTAAGCCCCCGTCGGCCCCACGCTAGCCCCGCGCTAGCCTCCTAAGGCCCCCGATCGGCCCCGCGCTAGCCTCCTAAGGCCCCCTTCGGCCCCGCGCTAGCCTCCCACGGCCCCTGCAGGCCCCGCGCTAGCCTCTCACGGCCCTCCCGCGCTAGCCCCGACCGGCCCTCCCGCGCTCGCCCCTCTACGACCGAGCCGCACGGCGCGACCCGAACCGAACCGCGCGACCCAGCCGAGCCGCGCCGCCCCAGCCGAGCCGCGCCGCCCTAGCCGAGTCGCGCCGCCCTAGCCGAGTCGCGCCGCCCTGGCCGAGCCGCGCCGCCCTAGCCGAGCCGCGCCCTACTTACCTGTGCACAGCACTGCTACTACTACTGCTACTGCTACTGCTACTGCTACTACCACCACTGCTGCTACTGCTACTTCAGCTATGGCTAGCCCTACAGTTCTCTCGTTCGATTCTGAGGGCCGCCCGATTAAGTTTGATACCTGGCTTGATGATCTGCACCTGTTCCTCCAGCTCACTGCTAGAGAGGATATCTCGCTGTACGATCACGCACTAGGCACAGTCCCTGCTCCTGCTACTACTGCTACCGCTACTGCTCGCTCGCAGTGGCAGACTCGCGATGCCCACGCCCGCTTTGCCATTCGCAACTCCCTGCCAGTCGATGAGCGTGAGCACTTCGGCCAGCATCAGACTGCGCAGGCCCTGTACACTACTGTAGTTGCGCGCTACTCCTCCCCGGCCTCAGCTGCACTAGGCCGTCTCTCCCTTCCCTACCTGTTCCCCGACCTGTCCGCTTTCCAGACAGTCGCTGACCTCATCACTCACCTCCGTACTAGTGATGCCCGCTTCCGTGCAGCCATGCCCGCTGAGTTTCTTGCATCCAACCCTCCCCCGCTCTGGCTCACTCTCTACCACCTAGTCACCCGCCTCCCTGACACTCTGCGTACAGTCAGGGACCACTTCCTAGCTCGCTGTCCCACTGAGCTCACCATTGCCGCCCTAGAGAAGGAACTACTTGCAGCTGAGAAGAGTATTGTAGCTGTAGGTGCCTCTCGTGGCGACCCCCGCACCCCTTTCTTCGAGGGGTGTTCCCCCTCCCCCCTCCTCCCCTCTGTCGCCTCTGCTGCTGCTGTCGACCTTCTTGGTGCTGAGCAGGTCGGCTCTGCGTCCGCTCCCAGCGGGCGCCGCAGCGGCAAGGGCAGGGGAGGCAAGGGCGGTGGGGGTGACGGCGGGGGAGGTGGTGGTGGGGGTGGTGGCAGCGGCGGGGGCGGTGGCGGGGCTGGAGGGGCTAGTGGCAGCGGTGGGGGTGGTGGAGGCAGCGGCGGCGGCGGTGGCCGCGGTGGGGGCGGTGGTGGTGGCGGCAGTGGACGTGGCGGCGGCAGGGGCGGTGGTGGTCGTGGTGGAGGCGGCGGTGGTGGTCGTGGAGGCTCTGGCACTGGCCAGAGCGCGCAGCACCCTCAGTCCTCCCAGGAGCTTCGTGAGTGGTACTTACAGCACGGGGGTGGGGGGGGTAGCCTTAGCTGCACGTACGTCATCCGCACTGGTCGCCGCAAGGGACAGACGTGCGGGAGGGCGCACACTTCGCAGCGCTGCTTCTCTCGCCTAGATGACGCTTGGCGTGCTCAGTTTCCTGACGCTCCTGAGCTTCCTCAGTGGGCTGATCTCCTCAAGAAGGATATTGATATCTATGCTCTTGATTTTGATGTTATTCTCAAAGCAATGTATGCATTGACTATTAGTGGAGAGGAGGACCAGTACCTGAGTGTTCCGCCTGACCCAGGCATCCGCACGAGTGAGGCTACCGCCCTAGGTGCTTGCGTGTCTGCTGCCCCAGGTACTGGTGAGGCTACTGCTCTAGGTGCGTGTGTGTCCGCCGCCCCAGGTGCTACTGAGTCCACTGAGGCACTGCACACCTTCACTCTAGACTCAGGCGCTTCGCGCTGTTTCTTTCGTGACCGCACTGCTCTTGAGCCCCTTGCTCGACCAGTCGCTGTCTCGCTCGCTGACCCCTCTGGGGGTCCGGTCATTGCGACCTCCTCCACCCTCCTTCCTTGTCCTGCTGTCCCGTCGGGCACACTGTCAGGTCTCCACCTCCCCTCGTTCTCTACGAACTTGGTGGCGGGTTGTGCGCTTCAGGATGGGGGTGTTCACCAGTTCACCCCTGCCTACGAGCGTGTGACACACTGCACGTGTGCTCGGACGGGCCGTCACCTGGCTACCTTCACTCGGCAGCCGGGGTCGGACCTGTACACACTGACCACTGAGTCCCCTCAGGTAGCGGCGTCTGCGTCTGCGTCTGCGTCAGGTCAGCTGTCTGCCCCCTGCTCGTGTCGCTCTCTAACGCACAAGACTGTCCTCTGGCACCACCGACTTGGTCACCCGTCAGTGCAGCGCCTTCGGGGCATGCACGCCCGGTACCTTGTCTCTGGTCTTCCTCGGGTACTCCCTCCCCTCCCACCCTCCCTTGCTCCTCCCTGTCTTCCCTGTGTCGAGGGGCGGCAGCGCGCTGCCCCTCACTCCTCCTCGTTCCCCCCGACGACTGCTCCTTTGCAGACGCTCCACATGGACGTGTGGGGCCCAGCCCGCGTCCGTGGTCAGAGCCAGGAGAGGTACTTCTTGATCGTCGTTGACGACTACTCGCGCTACACCACGGTCTTCCCCTTGCGCACCAAGGGTGAAGTCCCTGATGTTCTGATCCCCTGGATCAGCAGAGCACGTCTTCAGCTGCGACAGCGTTTTCGCTCGGAGTTTCCTGTTCTGCGCTTGCACTCTGACAGAGGTGGCGAGTTCTCCTCCGACCTCTTGGCAGCCTACTGTGCCGAGCATGGCATTCGCCAGTCGTTCACGCTCCCGGCCTCTCCACAGCAGAATGGGGTTGCTGAGCGCCGCATTGGCTTGGTCATGGAGGTCGCTCGTACCTCCTTAGTCCACGCGGCTGCCCCCCACTTTCTGTGGCCGTTTGCGGTCCGGTACGCTGCGCATCAGCTCAACCTCTGGCCCCGTGTCTCCGCTCCGGAGACCTCGCCCACACTGCTGTGGACGGGGGAGGTTGGCGATGCGTCTCGCTTCCGTGTCTGGGGATCCCGAGCTTTTGTTCGCGACACGTCTGCGGACAAGCTCTCCTCCCGCACTGCTCCCTGTGTCTTTCTTGGCTTTGTCCCGGATGCTTCTGGCTGGCAGTTTTACCACCCCGCCTCGCACCGAGTCTTCCCCTCTCAGGACGTCACTTTTGACGAGTCCGTGCCCTTCTACCGCCTCTTCCCCTACCGCACTGCCCCGCTCCCTCCCCCGCCTCTCTTCCTCGCGCCAGGTGCTGCAGTGGTAGACCCCCTTCCCCCTCAGGGTGCCGCTCCCTCAGGTGTCTCTCAGGTAGACCCGGTTGAGACTGCCGAGGTAGCTGTCGACTCGCGTCCTGCTGGAGGTGCTGAGCCTGAGCGTGCGGAGCCTGAGCGTGCGGAGCCTGAGCGGGCGGAGCCTGGGGGTGCTGAGTCTGGGGGTGCTGATCCTGGGGGTGCTGAGCCTGGGGGTGCTGGGTTTGGGGGTACTGAGCCTGGCGTTGCTGAGTCTAGGGGTACTGCGCCTGGAGTTACTGAGCCTGGGGGTGCTGAGCCTGGTGGTGTTGCAGTTGACTGTGAGGCGCCTGGAGGACCTCCCTCTTCGCAGCAGCTGCGTGAGTGGTACTCACGGTACTGCAGCCTCCGGCGGGGTGAGTCTCGGGCTCGTGGTACTGCTGGAGTTGGTACTCGTGCTTCCCCACCACGGCGGGAGCCGCCCTCTTCCCCTCAGCTTCGAGAGTGGTACGCTCGGCACATCAGTCTCCGTAGTGGAGCTGCTGGTGCTGGGGTCCCCGGAGTTGACGCTGCTGCGAGTACTACGGACCCTGGTGCTGGAGGTGCTGCTGCTGCTGGCGGTGCTGCTGGAGGTGCTGCTGCTGCTGGCGGTGCTGCTGGAGGTGCTGCTAGTACTGAGGACCCGTGCGTTGGAGCTGCTGTGGGTGCTACGGACCCTGGTGCTGGAGGTGCAGCTGCTACTGGCGGTGCTGCTGGAGGTACTGCTGCTGCTGGCGGTGCTGCTGGAGGTGCTGCTGGAGGTACTGCAGACCCTGGTGCTGGAGGTGCTGCTGCTTCTGGAGGTGCTGCTGCTGCCGCTGGTGTCTCTGCTGGTTCGAGAGCTGCTGCACGGCCACGACCGTACTTCGTTCCGCTCCTTCAGCAGGTTCTTGGTCAGCCTCCTCCTCCTTGTTCTCCTCTCGCCTTAGAGTGTCCGCCGTCTGTCCAGTCACAGCCACAGTTACCGCCTGCCTCACCACTCCCTGTGCCTGCTCCTTACACTGGTCCGACTGACGGTCTTGCTGAGAGACGTGAGCCTGCGTCACGTCCTGTGTCACCTGCGTCTCGTCGAGCGTCGCCTGTTCGAGCTGCTACCACTGGTAGTCGTGTCCCGCGTGAGCGTCCTCCTGCTGTCCCAGGCACGCACCGGATGGCGCTTCGTCAGTCCACTGCTCCGCAGCGTGTTGCTCTCCCGTCGCCTCCTGCGTCCTCTCTTCCTGCTCTTGCTGACCCGGAGTCAGACTCCCTTCGCGCTGCCAGTCCTACTGTCACACGTCTCTTGGCTACGGTTGTCACTGACCCTTCCTTTGAGTCCGCTGCTGCGTCTGCCCTAGTCACTGAGCTTGTCGACTTTGCAGCGGCGTGTCGTCTAGACTACGCAGCGAGTCTTGTTGCTGAGTCTGAGTCTGCCTGTCCTCCGTCCGTCGGGGGTGAGTGTGCTCTTGGCACGGACGTCCTTGAGGACAGGCAGGAGGAGTTTGGTTGCCTTGCCGCTGCTTTGCCCCATCTCGTGTCCATGCTTGTTGCCCCTGAGGGAGACCCGGATGCACCAGACATCCCGACCCCACGCTCTTACGCAGAGGCGATGGCCGGTCCCTACTCCTCTCAGTGGCAGTCAGCCATGGACACAGAGATGGCTTCCTGGAAGTCCACAGGCACCTACGTCGACGACGTTCCCCCACCTGGGGCGAACATCGTCAGTGGCATGTGGATTTTCAGGGTGAAGCGGCCGCCAGGCTCTCCGCCTGTCTTCAAGGCGCGTTACGTTGCACGAGGCTTCAGTCAGCGAGAGGGAGTTGACTTCTTCCAGACCTTCTCCCCGACCCCGAAGATGACCACTCTTCGGGTTCTGCTACACGTCGCCGCTCAGCGTGACTACGAGCTCCACTCTCTTGACTTCAGCACAGCTTTCTTGCAGGGCAGCCTGCACGAGGAGATCTGGCTGCGCCGCCCACCTGGCTTCACTGGGTCGTTCCCTCCTGGCACCCAGTGGAGCCTCCGGCGGCCAGTCTACGGTCTCCGCCAGGCGCCGCGTGAGTGGCACGACACACTGGGACTACACTTGCGGCTCTTGGGTTTGCTCCTTCTACTGCTGACCCGTCGCTGTTTCTGCGCACCGACACCTCGCTGCCGCCGTTCTACATCCTCGTGTACGTCGACGACTTGGTCTTTGCCACTGCGGACACTGCCGCACTCGCCCACGTGAAGTCCGAGCTGCAGAAGAGACACACGTGCACAGACCTGGGTGAACTGACAAGCTATCTTGGCTTGCGGATCACCCGGGACAGAGCACGCCGCACCATTACCCTGACTCAGTCACACATGGTGCAGCAGGTCCTTCAGCGCTTCGGCTTCACGTACTCCTCGCCTCAGTCCACTCCTCTGCCTACGGGTCACTCGCTCTCAGCTCTGCCTTCGGATGAGTCCGTAGAGTCGAGTGGTCCGTATCCAGAGCTTGTGGGCTGCCTCATGTACCTGATGACCTGCACTCGACCTGACCTAGCATACCCTCTCAGCATCTTAGCACGCTATGTTGCTCCCGGCCGTCACCGGAAGGAGCACATGGATGCAGCTAAGAGGGTGTTGCGCTACTTGTGCAGTACGTCGGGCATGGGGCTAGTGCTTGGAGGGCGAGACCGGCCTGTTCTCACTGGGCACTCAGACGCTTCTTGGGCAGACGACCAGGCTACTCAGCGGTCGTCTCAGGGTTACACCTTCAGTCTTGGCTCTGGCTCTGTCTCTTGGCGTTCTACTCGTTCTTCTTCTGTTCTCAGCTCCAGCTGTGAGGCTGAGATCTACGCCACGGCCATGGCTGCCCAGGAGCTTCGCTGGCTCACCTACCTGCTGACTGACCTTGGAGAGCAGCCTCGTTCTCCTCCAGTGCTGTACGTCGACAACAAGGCAACCATTGCCTTGTGCCAGGAGCACAGACTGGAGCACAGGACGAAGCACATTGCTCTGCGTTACTTTCTAGCTCGAGAGCTACAGCAGCGTGGTCAGCTTCTTCTGCGTTACGTGGCCACTGAGGCCAACACTGCTGATGTGTTCACCAAGGCGCTTCCGCCTGTTGACCATCAGCGTTTTTGCACTCTTCTAGGCCTTGTGCCGACTGTTTCTCACTTACTTACTTCTTGACTTTACCTGTACTGTGATCATTATATATATACCTGCATGTTTGCCTTGTTAGGTTGTGATCATTGTACCTCTTGCTGTATTATAAAACTGCATGTGAACTGGTCTTGTGACCGCTTGCTTGTGCTCGGAATTTGTGTGGAATCCTCGAGATCCACCCTGAGCTTGTTTACCTTGTTTTGCCTTGACTGGTCTTGTGACCCCTAGGTCTCCCCCACTTTGCCTATGGGGGTGTGTCAAACATTTATATGTTTGTGTGGTTCTAGGCTGTAGTGGGTTACACCATAAGGGGTACACCAGATTAGGGTTTGACATATTTGTACTGTTGTTCCTGCTAGTCACTCCTCATTCTCGTTTCTCATTCTGACAGGGTGGGGAATGGAACTCCTAAGTTCCGAAATGAAGACGTGGGTGGAGGCCAAAAGGCTTCCAACCCTTGTTATGTACTCGGCGAATAGTAATTCGCCATTGCCTTGCTTCGCTACAGTAAGCTGCGCTTTCACAATACACATTTTTAGAAAGTGTTACACACTTAAAAAAAAAATCATATTGAGAAAGCTTGCTTTCTGTTCTTGCAAAGGCAACGTGCTTCATTACAGTTGGGTTTACTGAGACATGTGTAGTTAGGAGCGGTGAAGACGTGTTGAGTCTTGTGGTTGATGGCCTCGACGAATTGCTGAGAGATGTGGCGTTGGTTGGTTTCGATGCGATCGCCATGCCGTTGGGTTTCGGAATGTTGTGTATAACGATTGCTCGTTCCATTGATGTAGACGTCCCTGGTTGTTGGTGCAGCAGAAGAGTGTGGTTGAAACTGGTGGTTGATGTTAGCTGTTGAGGGCGTGGATGTTCGACGTTCCCGATGATGCCGCGTGATTGACGTGTGGATGACAGAGCGAAATTGCATGAAAGTGATTTTTGTATGAGGGAGTTAGCGTTAGTGACTAATCTAGAATTATTGTCAAGAGCTGCTTTTCACGTTCGCGATTGTCCACGAGAGCACACGAGAGGTCGAGATTGCCAATGAAGCCTCATGACTGGCATACGATCGTCAGAAGGAAATCACCAAGTGGATTAGCAGGCGGGATGACTTAGGATGGGTGGATGTGGCGCGAGAGCTGCGCTAGGAGGAGTGTGAACGCAGAGGTACCGGTATGGCTTTTTATTACTATTAGGGACTTAGAGAAGTTCATCAGATGGTGAATGATCGTGCGGTATGTACCGTATGAATGAGCAATAAAGACCCGTACAAGAATAAATGTTCCAGCCATGATACTTTTACAGAACTGCGTACTATGTACAAATCACACCTAGCATCAATTATGAGTAGGTCGTCTAATGTGGGAGTTCCAGAAACATCACAACAAGGCAGAAATAAGTGATCACAAGCAACACTACCCCGACTCTAACTTGAATGGCTTTAATTTCATGCCAGTGTCGGGTAGCGCCGTCAGAATTCACGATACTACTGTCCCTTTGCACAGCAATGTCTGTTTTGTGTTCAAAACCTCGGACTCAATGTGAGATTAGGTGTATTTTCGTTCCTTGTTTGAGTCAAGGGCAGCATATTAAAGCCTTAAAGCCATTGTAGATTCATTTCGACAAGGACAATCGTTCCTCAAGCCATGTTCAAGGTGGTTTGTAACCAAGGCTCTCAATTCGAGCATTTTATAATGTAACCAATTCCGCAAGATCTGTCTTGGACAATCAATACAAAGGCACATACAAGGATACATACCAGGGCAAAAACAATTTTGAAAGGCATTATACCGGCAGCCAAGGATGGCATAGGGTAAGTCCCCTTTTTTCTACATATCACAAGCTTGTCGCAATGTGCATATACTCCTCTCTTGGCACAATGACCCGTGTGCCAGCTCTCATGTCTATTTCTCTCTCTATCTCCGCATGTCACGAGCCGGGACCCTCGGTCCCCTCCCCGTGGGGAACGGCCCTCTAGTTGGCCGGGACCCTCGGTCCCCTTCCCCCCACGGGGAACGGCCCTCTGGCCAGCCGGGACCTTCGGTCCCTTTCCCCCCATGGGGAACGGCCCTCTGGCCAGCCAGGACCCTCGGTCCCCTTCCCCCCATGGGGAACGGTGTCAGAACATATATGTAGCTTATGCTGTTGTGTAGGCTACAGTGGGGTATCCCATAGGGGGTACAACCCAATTAGGGTTTTGCTATTTGTACCCAACTCTTTCATAGTGCATTCATTTCTCGTTCTATTTTCCACATGGTATCGAGCAGGTTCCCCCGTGGGAACTGTGCTTAGGGCCCACCACTTTAAAACTTTTTTTTCTGCCCGGAGCGCGCTCCGGGCCCTCGCTCTCACTCTTTCGGCCTGCCCTAAGCCGCCCGCGCGCCGCCCGTCCCGGCCCCTAGCCGCTCGCGTGTTCTGTCCTCCCAGGACGTCACGTTCGACGAGTCAGTCCCCTTCTACCGCCTCTTCCCCTACTGTACTCCTTCCCTCCCCCCACCACCCGACTTCCTGGTGCCAGTTCCCCCCCCGGTAGACCCCCTCCCCCCTCAGGTTCCTGCCCCTTCAGGTGTGTCCCAGGTAGACACAGTCGAGCCAGTCGAGGTTGCTGCTGAGTCTGGTCCTGTTGCGGGTGCAGAGTCTGGGGGTGCTACGCCTGCGGGTGCTGAGCTTGGGGGTGCTGCTGCTGGGGGTGCTGAGCTTGGGGGTGCTGCTGCTGGGGGTACTGAGCCGGGGGGTGCTACGTCAGGAGCTGCTGAGCCTGGGGGTGCTGAGCCTGGAGGTGCGGAGCCTGCGACTGCTGGACCTGGGGGCTCTCCGGTTGCTCCGTCTCGGCGGGAGCCGCTCTCTCCACAGGAGCTGCGCGAGTGGTTTGCTCGCCGCTGGAGGCGTGCTGCTAGAGCTGGAGCTCCTTCGACTGCTGAGGGTGCTGGTGCTGCCGGTCCCGGAGCTGCTGGGCCTGCGGGTCCTACTGGAGCTGGAGCTGCTGAGCCTGGGGGTGCTGAGTCTGGAGCTGCTGAGCCTGGGGGTGCTGAGTCTGGAGCTGCTGAGCCTGGGGGTACTGAGTCTGGAGCTGCTGAGCCTGGGGGTGCTACGTCTGGAGCCGCTGAGCCTGGGGTTTCTCCTGGTGCTGCGTCTCGGCGGGAGCCCCTCTCTCCACAGGAGCTGCGCGAGTGGTTTGCTCGCCGCTGGAGGCGTACTGCTGGAGCTGGAGCTTCTCCGACCGTCGAGGGTGCTGGTGCCGCCGGTCCCGGAGGTGCTACGCCTGCGGGTCCTACTAGAGCTGGGGCTGCTGAGGGCGGTGGTGCTGAGTCTACTGCTGTCTGTCCTGACGGTGGTTCTGCTGCTGGTGCTGCTGGAGGTACTGCCGCTGGAGGTGTTGGTGGCGCTGGTGCTGCCGCTGAGGGTGCTGGTGTTGTCCCTGCTGAGTCTGGAGCTGCCGCGCGGCCTCGGCCGTACTTCGTTCCGCTTCTGCAGCAGGTTCTTGGTCTTTCTCCTCCGGTAGAGTGTCCACAGCCTGTCCAGTCGCAGTCACTGTTGGAGCCTACCTCCCCACTGCCTGCTCCCTCTCCTTACACTGGTCCTACTGGAGGTCTTACCGAGCGTCGTAAGCCTGCGTCTCGTCCCGTGTCGCCTGTTCGTGCTGCCCGCGCTAGTGGTCGTGGTTCGCGTCCGCGTCCTCCTCCTGTCCCTGGCACGCACCGGATGTCTCTGCGTCCGTCCACTGCTCCTCTGCGTGCCCTTTTGCCTTCTCCTCCTGAGTCCTCCCTTCCTGTGCTTACCGACCCAGAGTCGGACTCCCTTCGTGCTGCCAGTCCTACTGTCACGCGTCTCCTTGCTACTGTCATCACTGACCCCTCTTTTGAGTCCGCTGCTGCGTCTGCTCTTGTCGCTGAGCTCGTCGACTTTGCTGCTCGCTGTCGTCTAGACTACGCTGCTAGTCTTGTTGCTGAGTTTGCGTCTGTCTGTCCTCCGTCCGTCGGGGGTGAGTGTGCTCTTGGCACGGACGTCCTAAAGGACAGGCAGGAGGAGTTCCAGTGTCTGGCTGCTGCTTCACCTCATCTCGCGTCTGTACTGCTTGCTCCTGAGGGACACCCGGATGCACTAGACATCCCGACTCCGCGCTCTTACGCGGAGGCCGTAGAGGGTCCCTACTCCTCTCAGTGGCAGGCAACTATGGATGCAGAGATGGCTTCCTGGAAGTCCACAGGCACCTACGTTGACGCGGTTCCCCCTCCTGGGGCGAACATCGTCAGTGGCATGTGGATCTTCAGGGTGAAGCGGCCGCCGGGCTCTCCACCTGTCTTCAAGGCGCGGTACGTCGCTCGTGGCTTCAGTCAACGGCAGGGAGTTGACTACTTTCAGACCTTCTCTCCCACCCCGAAGATGACCACTCTTCGGGTGCTGCTGCACATAGCCGCTCAGCGCGACTACGAGCTTCACTCTCTCGACTTCAGTACTGCGTTCTTGCAGGGGAGCCTGCACGAGGAGATCTGGCTGCGCCGTCCACCTGGCTTCACTGGGACTTTCCCTCCTGGCACCCAGTGGAGCCTCCGACGGCCAGTCTACGGTCTCCGCCAGGCACCACGTGAGTGGCACGACACACTGAGGACTACGCTTGCGGCCCTTGGGTTTGCTCCTTCTACTGCTGACCCGTCGCTGTTTCTGCGCACCGACACTTCACTGCCGCCGTTCTACATCCTCGTGTACGTCGACGACTTGGTCTTTGCCACAGCGGACACTGCTGGACTCGCCTACGTGAAGTCCGAGCTGCTGAAGAGACACACGTGCACAGACCTGGGTGAACTGCGCAGCTACCTTGGCTTGCAGATCACTCGGGACAGAGCACGCCGCACCATTACCTTGACTCAGTCACACATGGTGCAGCAGGTCCTTCAGCGCTTCGGCTTCACGTACTCCTCGCCTCAGGCCACTCCTCTGTCTACTCGTCACTCGCTCTCAGCTCTGCCTTCGGATGAGTCCATAGAGTCGAGTGGCCCGTACCCACAGCTTGTTGGCTGCCTCATGTA